AAAACTGTTTCCATACGATTTTCAAATGGTCCAAACTTTACTACTCCAAGATATTTATGTATTTGTATAAGTTATTTTTTGTTTTATATAATTCAATGGTCACCTAAAGAGTGTGAGTTCAATACCCAGTTAAAGCAGTGCAGAGGGGAATTAAGAGGAGATAACTTATAACTGACATCCATTAAACATGGCACGTGGAATTAAAACAGTCTACCCTAGTAAGCGAAATAAAGGGTACAATTCGACATTCCAACCATCTGAAGAAGGCCTGAGCGTACAACGGCCGAAACGTTGTAATAAATATGGCGATAAAGATGGTATTTATCAATCCACCCACGGGGATCGAATGTGGCACAAGGCCTTTTTAATGTGGGTATCTCTGTGCCCGTAGGCCCAGCCAAAAATAAATAACCATCCAAACCCGCCGAGGCAGGCCAGTTCCGTCAACCGCCCCCAACGAGACCCTACCCTTCGGCGGAGCTTCGTCTGGGTTCCTCTCTGCAAGGAGAGAGTTCGACAGACACTCGACCCGGCAGCTCACAAAGCGCAGATACTACACTTTGATCCTAGCCACCGGCGACAAAGATGAGGACAATAGTCCGAATAATGTAAATAGTGTGCATAATACCGCATCTCAGAAATAAGGACAGATACTGATGGGCACCCTTGTATATACTTATGTTTATGAGTGTGGTTGTGTATATAAGAATGTGTTAGATAAGTTGTAAACATGCATATAGAGCCGCAAGTAGATATGTATCTTTGAAGAGTTAGTGTAAATTATTTTCATTTTTATTTTTCTGCATAAAATCAATACCAGCATCAAAACCGTAGTTAATATGACATTTGTACATGTATCCAGGCTCTGAGTTACGCATATATGCAGATGCATGTAATCCTTACGTATTATATATATATATATATATATATATATATATATATATATATATATATATATATGTGTTGTGTTAGTGTGTGTATATATATATCATATGCTGTATGTAATATATATGTAGGCATGTGTGTCTGCGTATATTTTGAGTATAAAAACTTTGCCATTTCAAACAGAAAGACACCATTTTGATAAAGGCGATGGATGCGCCATCTGTGCAGAAATAAAAGAAAAATCAATTAAATAGTCTATCTTATGCCAGTGCATTCATCATTCTATGTTCAATATATGTACATAAAGAAGGACCTATATATATGTATATTCTTATACATACATACATACATACATATATATATATATATATATATATATATATATATATATATATATATAAGAAAAAATCTACATTTTTATTAAACCCTTTCGTATAAGACTCATTGTGCAATATTTTATACTTCTATGTTCATTATATATATATATATATATATATATATATATATATATATATATATATATATATATAACTATTTTATTTCTTCAAACATACTTCTTTTTTTTTTTTTTCTTGCAAAATTTTCTTTCCTTGAACTTCAAGAAGCATGTTGGGGGGGGCAGATTTGTTTAAGCTTTTTATTTTATTCTTTTTATTTACTGTAGTTTCCATGAATTTTTCTTCCTTCTTTACCACTTCCCTTTTAATCGATCCTCATTTTTACAAGTCAAATTTTATTTCGGCTATCAGTTTCCATAGTAATTCTGGCCACCATGAGGACCATGGAGAATCGAACATTCTTGAAACATATTCAGATGGGAAAAAGCTTTACATTCAAAGAAAAAAGTTTTTATTACATTTTTAGTAGTTGTTAACCTGGTTTAGAAAAGTGAATAACTTATATATATATTTGTGCGTGCATATATATATATATATATATATATATATATATATATATATATATATATATATATATATATATATATGTTTCTTTTATATATAAGTTATTGCCAGTTGAGTGCTTGTGCTAATAAATGGTTTCTATTCAGCACCTGAAGATTGCGTTGTGAATGAAAGTCTGAATCTCTGCTATACCTGAGGAACAGTTGGTATGATCTTTACCTGATAATGTAAGTGTCCGGGTTTCAATTCTCTGTAGTGGATGCGCACTGCTGATGAGTCCCAAATATGGGACGAAGCGGCCGTCCAGTGCTTTCTGCATTCTGTTGAGGTTTCTTCTAGACTAGATGAATTACTTAATTATAATTATCTCAAATCCCCCTAATTTATATCACTATATATATACTCTCACTTTATATATATATATATATATATATATATATATATATATATATATATATGTGTGTGTGTGTAAAATATCGCACATGAAGTCTTGGTGCTAAAAAGCCATTGCTCTATGTGATATAACAGAACTATTAAGTATATATTAATAATTGTACATATTATCCTTCACGACTCGGAGTTTCATCCGGAATACAATCTTTAAGTTCTGTGTAGACTGACCCTTACGTAAATTACATTTTAATAAAAACATCTGGTTAACCAGTACATATATTTCGGGGGATTATAGTTTTCGGGGATTATAGTTTTTTTTT